TTTTTTGAGACAGAGTCTCACTATGTTGCCCTTGGTAGAGTGCCATGGTGTCACAGCTCACAGTAACTTCAAACTCTTGGGCTTAAGTGATTCTCTTCCCTCAGCCTCCCAAGTAGCTGGGACTACAGACACTCGCCACAATGCCCAGCTATTTTTTTGTTGTAGTTGTCATTGTTTAGCAGGCCCAGGCATGTGGATGGTACCCTAACCACTGAGCACGGGTGCTGAGCCCAGATATTTGGCTTCTTTAGGGATATGGGAAGAACTGGCCATATGGGCCAACATTCCTCAAGGCAACTGCCAGTTCTCTCTCTCCTTATGGTGTCATGTACCCACCAGGCCTGTTGTTCAAGGCATTAACTGCACCTGCCCAGCCCTAGGGGCAGCATTTGACTTCACAGCTGCGGATCTATAAGGACAGCTTTCCTCCTAACCCCAGCTTCTGGCTTTCTGTAGGAAACCTGCAATCCTTCACATTTTATTTTATTTCTTTTCTTTAATTATTATTTTTTTTCTTTATTAGAGACAGAGTCTCACTTTATCACCTTGGTAGAATGCTGTGGCGTCACACAGCTCACAGGAACCTCCAGCTCCTGGGCTTAGGTGATTCTCCTGCCTCAGCCTCCCTAGTAGCTGGGACCACAGTCACCTACCGCAATGCCTGGCTATTTTTCTGTTGCAGTTTGGCTGGGGCTGGGTTTGAACCCGCCACCCTTGGTATTATGGGGCCAGCGTCCTACCCATTGAGCCACGGGTGCTGCCCCTGTTTTCATTTTTTTAAGTGAATATGACCTTAATCAGGTCTACCTGGGCAGGTATTCCTAGAGAGTGCTGGGTGGTGGAGAAAGTAACAGCAAGTGTAATTAATTTACAAGGTGGGTTCCCAAATGGGGGCCTGAGAGCAATTGCTTCAGAGTATAGCGATTATCTTTGCTGTTTCCAGCTTCCTGGAAAGGGCCTGGCATCCTGACAAGGAAGCCAGGATGAGCAGATCAGTCGTTTGAGTAGATCAATCTGGTTCAGCCAGCTGAAATTATATGTGTATCTCCTGCAAACATTCAAAGACACTTGCTCCAACTTTTCAATCTCAAACTTTCATAGGAAGGGCAGTTCCTAAAAACACAGAGTTTCTCTTCACCTCTCTCACCTAGCTTGTGCCCTCGTTGGTACTGGTGATGGTCATTTTGAGATGGAAACTATGGTAATTAAACCAGATGAAGCACTTTGCCCCTGAACTGAGCCGCATTTGTGTTGTCATGGCAAAGCTTCTGGTTGTTGTTGAGCTCAGGGGTTGACCTCAGGATAGGAAGCAAATGGGACAAGGAAAGAACATCACAATTGCCAGCAATTATTGAGCACTTCCCACCCAGTGTCAGGTCCTTACTTTCTTTCTTTTTTTTTTTTTAGAGACAGAGTTTCATCCTGTCACCCTCGGTAGAGTGCTGTGGCGTCACAGCAACCTCCAGCTCTTGGGCTTAGGCGATTCTCTTGCCTCAGCCTCCTGAATAGCTGGAACTATAGGCACCTGCCATAACACCCAGCTATTTTTTGTTGCAGTTTGGCTGAGGCCGGGTTTGAACCCGCCACCCTCAGTGTATGGGGCCTGCATCCTACTCACTGAGCCACAGGCACTGCCCTCAGGTCCTTACTTTCATTTTGTCTTTGAATGATCATAACTACCTTGGAATCTGGTTATTATTAACTTCATTTAATTGGAGAGAGAAGTGAGACTCCAAGATAGCTCCATGAAAACTCAGGATTTCAATCCAAGTAGGTCTGATCCCATACCGTATCAGGGGAATCCAGCCTGCGGCCTATAGGCCCGGATTAGGTGAGGACTTTTTTGCTCATCTGTGGTGGCAGATATCATAAAATTATGCACAAACTTTTTTTTCTCTTGCCAGCTTTCTTTGTGTTTATGTATCTAAAATGTGTGGCCCAAGACAATTCTTCTTCCAATGTGGTTCAGAAAAGCCAAAAGATTGAACACTCCTGCCAGGTCTTTCTGCTACACCCCAGTGTTGCCACAGGGTCCTTAACCTCATTCCACTCTCTTCTAGGAAAGCATGAAAATGTCACTAAGGCCTTCTCAGTAGAAAAGATTAAGAAAAGATTTTAAAACATTGTTTAAATATTTTTAAAAATTTGTATAAAACTATATGCCTACCAATGTGTAAAACATTTGTGAGGTCTAAAGAATTCTAATACATCAAATGCCACCATTTTTGTTTGATTCCTGCTACCTCCAGCATCAGAGGCTGTAGGTAAACATTCTGAATAGATAATGGCTTGCTATTGCTTCCAGAGCCCTCTCTGCTGGTTTGTCAAGCAGGACTAAGTGGCAAATGTCCGGAGCCACCTCTGCTGAGGATGGTTGAAGTGCTCAGGTTGCTAGGACACCGTGGGGCTAAGAGGAGGCCAGGGGCGAGCTCCGGAGTCCCTTGCTCTAGCACAATGATGCTAGTTGAGCCGGTCTATGGTCTCTAAACCTACTTCCCTGGTTCTGCCTAGACCATGGGGTTTGGACGTTTCAGGAAAATGTGTTAGGAGAACTTGGCCCAAACTGGCCCGCACCTATTTGATTTAATACCATGAGGAACTGTTTCTTGTCCAGTTCAAGCCCTCAATGTGGGTTTGCGGCCTCCGTTACCCACCTGCTGAGGGAGATTTTCTGGTGGAGCAGAAAGCCTCGCTCGTAGGGCCAGGGGAGGCCGGCCTCGAACCACTCCCGGCAGCGTAGCACCGGCGAGATGCAGGCTGCCCCTGTCATGTAGCTGGAGGAGCCGCACTCGCCCAGGTAGGACAGCAGCAGCGCTGAGCCCGAGCCCTCGCTCACCGCGAACAGCGGAGCCGCCGGGTGTCGGAAGCGGATGTAAGTGACCGCTTCCTTGAGGTCCGACGGGTCACCAAATGGCTGCAGTCGGGGGCTGACCAGAGGGCAGCCGTGGTGGCCGCGGCGGTGGAAGATGACCGGGTAGTAGCCGCGCTCCAGGGCGAGCAAGCAGAGGCCCAGCACGTTGCGGGTGAGGCGCCCCCATGCATTGGGGATCACCAGTAGCACCGCTGGAAGGCCCCCAGCGTTGGTGACCCGGCGGCTCCGGGCACAAGGCCCCACAACCCAGTCCAGGGCCACTAACCCATCGTCCGTCAACTGCAGGTACTCCCGGGCCAGCTCAGGACCGGACCCCACGGGCAGGACGAAGTGGCAGAGGGTCTGCAGGTGGGGCCCGGACAGCCAGGAGCGCTGGCCGGGCTCCAGCGCTGTGGAGCGTCGCAGGGCGCGCAGTAGGCACTGGGCCAGCGCCGACGGCTTGCAGATGAGGCTGCATCCGCCGGGCAGCGGCTCTCGCCCGTCGCTAAACTGATCTGCTGGGCCTCCGGCATCCAACTCTTCGTCATTGTCCTGGTCGGACGCCCCCAGCCGGGTCCTCTCTCCGACGGCGCGCTTCCAGGGACGCCAGAGCCACGGGCCCAGCAGGCTGAGCATGGCGAACACGACCAGGAGCAGCGCAAGGACTGCGCCCCACGGCGGCATGGCGAGGCAGGAGGGCCCCTGGCAGGCGACGAGCGGCAAGGCCGTCCCCTTAGCCAGCTCTCCGCTCTGCCCGCGGCTTTGCCCGGCGGCTGCCGGCTGGCGGCTGCCCAGGGTCCTCCCGCGCGGGCGGGCGGTCGCGCTCTCTCCGGATTGGCCGCAGCCCCGCAGAGACAGCCAGTTCGGGCCCGGCTGCCCTCGCCCGCCCCCCGACTCCCGCCCCCGGCCCTTTGTACATCGATTGCGACAAGCCGCAGCAGAGGGTGAAAGGCGCCGGGGCCACCGAGAAGGATTGAGGACGCGCCAGTGAGCCGGAAGGGAGTGGGGAGGGCACGAGGGAGAGAGGGACAGCGGTGTTGGCAGTAAAGAGGTGGGGAGACGGGGAGACCAAGGCTTGGCGGCCCAGATGAGCATCAGAATCCCCTACCCTCGCCCCACCGCCCCCTAGATCTGTGGCTGGCAGCAGATGGGTCGCTGCCCCCTCAGAGGCCAATGTTGAGAAATAGCAAAAGGGAGAAGTGGATAAATAGTAGCTCCTGGCGCTGGCTCCAGCGTTCCCGTGGGGCCGCCGCAGCTGCAGCGGAGCCACCGGACGCACCTCCCAGCCCCAGTGCGTCTGGCCGCGCTCTCTGACGTCGGTGTTTGTCTCCCTACCCTACCCCGGGCACCCAGTACTGCATAAACAATAACACAGCCTGGCAGGAGACCCCGACTGCAAGCTTGCAGCGGGAGCAGGCTAGTTCCCTCGCCTGCGTCAGTGCGCTGTCCGGCTGACTATCCCCCGTCCTAGGGAGCATGGGGGTCCCTAGGAGCCTGGCTTCACATAGAGGAAATCCTTAACGCCGTTCCCCGGACTTCCCTAGAAGAAACAGCTCCAATTCTCCAATACTAAGTTGGGGGAATGGACGCATTCAGGCACCATACGAAGTGGGTGCTGTGGCAGGAGTAGATTGGAGTTTCTTAATCAGCTCAGCAACTGGAAATTACTGGGGAGAAAGTAAGGAATCCTTTGTAAGGTGGAGTACGTGGGAAGACGACTGAAATTACACATTCTCTCCCTATGTCGAAGTTTTCAGCTGGGCATCTCAACCCTGACCCTTTACCCATGCCTTTCCTCAAAATCCTGGAGAAGGTACCAGAGCCGATGCCCAGGCGCTGCAGGGAATGTCGGGCCAGAGCTCCTCGCTGGGAAAGAAGAGGCCTGTGGCTTCTCCACCTCATAGCGACCAATGTCTTCTGGATGCGCGCAGGCCACCACCAGACGAACGACAAGGGCGCGGGTGGAGGTGGGGAACAAAGCAGTCCCCGGAGTTGCTCCGGCCTCCCTGGGTCTGGAGAGGATGAGATTCTGAAACCCTTCGAGCCCTATTTGCTAGGAAGGGTGTGGGATGGGCTGACAGTGAAACTCTATACCTGGCACCCTTTCCCTTCAGCAACGCGGACTTCAAGACCTTGCCCGCCTTGTAGTAGTAGATCACACTGACGAATATGAAACAGGTTTGTCAGCGGAGCGTACCCGTCTCTCCCGCTTGGGCCACCCAATTTACAGGCATCCCCTTTCCCGCCCTTCACCCCGCTCCAAGATCCCACTCAGGCGCAGCAGCTGTGTTCTGCACGCTGCAGAGACACGCTGGGGCGAATCCCAGAGCTACTGAGGTAGCCCCCGCCTGTCCCGCAGCGTGGTGCTCACAGGCCGGGCTAGTAATGAAAACTTTGCCCGCTTCAGATTTAGGACGCGTGCGCACACGCTCGCCTGCTGTGGGCGGGCACTAGAGTGGGGCGGGGCAAGAATGGACGGGCGCTGCGGGGGCGCTGCGGGGGCGGGGCGAGGCGGAGGGCGCGCGGGCTGGGGTAGGGTCCCGGGCGCGCGGCGCGCGGGAGCCAGGGGTTCTACGTGGGTGCGCGGGCGACTCCGGTGTGCTGGGGCCCGGCTGGGGTGGCGAGCGCTCCCTCACCCGCGGAGCGGCGGGTCGGAGTAGGATGGCGCCTCCTCCGCCATCGCCCCAGCTGCTTCTCCTGGCAGCCCTTGCGCGGCTTCTGGATCCCAGTGAGGTAAGGCGACCGGCTCCTGGGAAGGCTTCGTTCGGGATCTCAAAGCGCTTTGCTGAAAGTTCGTCCTGGAAGGAGTGGCGCTTGGTGAGGGACTAGGAGTTCCCTCGCTGGCGGGCTGGGCCTAGGGAGGGAGGGAGGGAGAGGGCAGGGCCCTAAAGGAGTCCAGTGCTCCAGCTCTGCGCCTTGGACCCACAGGTGGTGGCTGCGCTGGCAGAGGAGGCGGGAGCCCGTTGTCCAGAGGGCTTATGGCCTCTGCCCCCACAGGTAAGAGTCCTGGAGGGCCAAGAAGAGAGGGATGTGAAGGGGTAGCCCAGTCCTGCTCTGTTCTCTCTGTATCCTCCACACTAACCCTGTGGAGATCTCTGCAGGTTCCTCCTGCCTTCATTTGCCAACTTCCCCATCCAAGCCTGATGCTTGGGTTCACCTGTCCCCTCCCTACCCAACACATGGAGTACCGCAACTACCCTAAGCTCTCTTATTTTTCCACGTATAGGTGTCACCAAGAGTCACCTACACACCGGTGAGCCCAGAGCAGGTAAGTACAAGGAGGGTTCCATTCTTGGAGTCTACACCTGGAAGCAGAGAGCTCCTTGTAGCCTTCTGCTTTTTCTTTCTTTCTTCTTTTTTGAGACAGAGTCTCACTATGTTGCCCTCGGTAGAGTGCCCTTGCTCACAGCTCACAACCTCAAACTCTTGGGCTTAAGTGGTTCTCTTGCCTCAGCCTCCCAACTAGCTGAGACTACAGGAGCCCAGCTATTTTTCTGTTTCAGTTGTCATTGTTGTTTAGCAGGCCCTGGCCAGGTTAGAACCCACCAGTCCTGGTGCATGTGGCCAGCACCCTAACCATTAAACTTCAGGTGCGGAGCCATTCCTCTGCCTTTTCTGCTGATCAGCTCTATTTCTTACCACTTCCCTGAGGAAGAGGCAAGGTTTCTAGATCCCCTTCCTACCTCACACCCTGGTACAGTGAGCTATAGGCAGGCCACTGTTCTCTGTAGTGCTGCCTCAGGAATTCTGCTGAGTAGCTGGCTGTGTGGGTAAGGGAAGGTAGTAGGAATAAACAACCCAGGGCCTAACTCTCCTGCCGGACTGTGGGAAGTCTCCTGACTTTCTGGACCCCAGTTTTCTGTAAGAGAGGCTATTCCGTCCCTTCCTGTGAGGAGGGAATGAATGGTGTGGATAGTATAAAGCTGTATTGTGCGCCTCTGGTTACTAGGCTCCAAACTGGAGGTTCAGTATGAACCTGGCTGCCTCTCTATCTTCAGTGTTTTCTTGTCCCTTTGGTTTTTTCTTTGAAGTATATAACCTTGTTTTAATCCTCTGCAATAGCTCCCAGTCAAGAGACATTGACTCATGCCACCTACCAGATTCCTTTCCGCAAGCAGCCCTTCCATTAAGTCATTCCACTATTCAGAAAGCGTCAGTGACTCCTTAGTTCTCACCTCATCATGGCCATACTCTCCTGCAAGGCTTTTCAGACTTAGTTAATAAGTTCCACCTGACCTTGCCAGATCTTTGTTTCTTCTCCATTCATGTTGATCTGCTCATCACACAAGAGAGTGCCTATTTTCCTCATATCTGATCCATCCTGACCTGGAGTATGCCACTACCTCCCTCTCCTGCTATCCTTCCCCAGGCATCCCCAGTGCATGAGTTAGTTACCGCTTAAGACCTTGCCTGATCATGTAACCCTTTATTCATCCCCTCATCCTCTGGATCTTACAGTTTAACAACTAGTCACTGAGTTTTATTAGTTTACTCTTTTGTATGCATTAGTTGTTTCCCTGAGTTTCTGATACATCCCCTACAAGTTTAGTCCAGAAGTTCTCTTTTGGCATCTCCTACAGCATCTGGCACATTGCTGAGCACCAAGTCAACTCAAGCATAATTAATAATGGATGAAGTGTTTCCATACTGAGATTATGCACCTGCTACCTGTGTGCCCTGTAATTGGATCTTCTTGGAAGACTGATTTTATAGATCAGATGATAAACAGAAGACCTGGTCTTCATTTGGGGGATGCTTATGGTCTAGTTGAGGGATCTTGTAGAGCAGGTGCAGAAAAATATGGCTAAAGAATGTGGTCTGAGGTCAAGCATAGTGGCTCATGCCTCTAATCCTAGCACTCTGAGAGGCCAAGGCAGGAGGATCCCTTGAGTTAGGAGTTTGAGACCAGCCTGAGCAAAGTAAGACCCTATCTCTACTACAAACAGAAAAATTAGCCAATTAGCTAGGTTGTGGTGGCGTGTGACTGTAGTCCCAGCTACTTGGGAGACTGAGTCAGGAGAATGGTTTAAACCCAGGAGTTTGAGGTTGCTGTGAGCATGGCTGAGGCCATGACACCATAACCTGGTCAACAGAGCAAGATTCTGTCTGGAAAAAAAATAAAGTGGTCTGAGTCTGACAGGGTTATCCAGACATACTGTTGTAGAAGTTATAAGCTTTAAGGAGTGGCACTTGAAGGAAATGAGGGGTAAAAGGAACACACAGAGGCAAGAGGGAATACATGGCACAACCCAAGACTAGTATTCCAGGCCTTGAGGGTGGAAAGGCCCTCACCATCCTGGGAGTCCCTTTAAACTGGCTCCAGGATAAGAACTTGAGATTCTCTGGGAGGGACCTGGACTTGGTTTGATGTCTCTGTACCTTTCATCCAGGTAGAGAATGTCACCTTCCTCTATCACCCCTGTGCTCACCCCTGGCTGAAGCTCCAGCTTGCCCTCTTGGCCCACATTTGTGTGGCTAAGCCCTCACTCACCCCTGACTCCAGCCTCACTCAGGATCGGGTAAGTAGTTGATAAAAGGCAGTTGTCTGGCACTGGCAGAGGCTGTAGCCCCGTGTGCAGGGAAAGGAGAACTCAGGGGGTTCCTCTTGCTTGTTCCCTGCCTTCATCTTAGTTATAACAGTTAACCTTTTTTCATAGCCCTTGGTGCTAACAGCATGGGGAGTGGTGCTGGAGATGGCATGGGTAGAGCCAGCCTGGGCTTCCCACTGGCTAAAGAGGAGGAAGAGGCTGAAGCAGAGGGGAAAAACAGCATGGTTCCACTGTGACAGCCTTTCTGAGTTGTCTCCTCTGGTGCCAAGCCCAGGCAGAGAGCCACTGTGCTTGAAAGGGTGTACACAGGTGAGAAGTGTGGGGCCCAGGCTTGGTTGGTGGCAGGGTCATTGGGCCATCCGAGAAGGGCAGCAGGGTGACCACCATCTTTTCTCCTTTTAGGCCCTGGTTTTGGCTTTTGCTCTGCGGAGCTGGAGGCCCCCTGGCACAGAGGTGTCATCTAGAAGGCTCAGGCAGCTCTTTTCCAGTGGTGCCAAGAGGCGGGGGCTGCGGGCGGCGGTTCATCTCCAGCCCACCCACGTAGGCTTGAGGGTCCCCTCTGCTTCCCCTTGGAGCTTGAAAGCCAGGCAGCCCATGTTGGGAGTCCTGCATAAGGAGGGTAATGCCCCATCTGTGCCCAGTGTCCCCCTGCTACCTGTGGGTCCTGGAGGCAATACCAGCTCCAGGACAGAGGCTCAGGTGCCCAGCAGGCAAGGTAGCCCAGGAGGTTGTGCCTGTCCAAATCATGGTTCCCCAGCCCCTCGTGCAGTTGCACCTTCACAGCCAGCCCGAGGCCCCACCCCACGCACGGAGGAGGCTGCGTGGGCTGCCATGGCCCTGACTTTCCTGTTGGTGCTGCTCACCCTGGCCACGCTCTGCACACGGCTGCACAGGAACTTCCGACGGGGGGACAGCATCTACTGGGAGCCCACAGGGGACAGCCAGGACACAGTGGCTGGTAAGTTTCGGTCCCTCTGGCATCCCTGCCCACTCTTCCTGCCCTTGACTCTTCCTGCCCTGCCCACAGCTGTGCTGAAGCGGAGGCTGCTCATGCCAGCGCGTCGGGTCAAGCGCTCCCGCCGGAGACCCCTTCTCCCACCCACGCCAGACAGCGGCCCGGACGAGGATAGCTCCGAGTGACCGGCCCCAGCCCCGCCCCTGTGGCTGCTGGGCTCCTCCTCCGGTTGCTGGGCTGTGACCTCTGCCACGTGGCCCGCGCGCGCGGGCGCCCCCTCGCGGCAGACGGAGAACTCCTGCCCAAGCGTCCCGAAGCGTCCTTTCCCTTTCACCGGCCTGGAGCGGGTGGCAAAGGGGGAGAAAAAGCTGTTCTGCCTCCCTCGTCCTGTATTTCTTATTAAATTATTTTAGTAGAGTCTGGAGTTGAGCTTGTGCATCTGCCGCACAGAGAAACTCCCACAGGACATTGGTTGGTCCTAGTCCACCCAGGTGGGTGGTTTTATAATATACAATCAGCATGGGCATTGCCAGTCTGGCTTCTCTGGCCAACCAGGCCCCAGACTCGGGACTTTAGGAGTGTGTTAGCGGGATGGTGATGGTAGTTACATTAGTATTGTCATTCCTGAACTTGGACCAGACAGGGACTTACCAGGTGCCAGGATAGTGGTCGTCTCTCAGGGCACTTCTTTCATGTCTGCCAACCCACCCCCACGTCCCCCCATTCTCTTAAGCATCAGAAACAGCACATGGTCACTTCTTTATTTTTGATACAAATGTACATGACACATGTCTTGACAGCCCACCCACCAGCACACAGGTAGGGCCTGGCCCCTGGGAAGAGGCAGGACCGGAGAGAAGAGCTGGTAATGCCACCCCTGCCACCTGGCCTGTCTTCCCAGGCTGTAGCCAGGTTCCCAGGCCTCCAGAGGTGGGACCATAGCAGGTGCAGGTAGTGATGGTGGGTGCTGGCCTCGCAGAGGTTATGGGGAGGGGACTCTCAGCTCCACAGCCACCAGCTGAGTCAGGGATCCCAGGGAGCCAGCCCCGGGCTCAGGTGCTCAGTCCTCTGCCCTGGCCAGCATACAGTCCCCCTCCACAAGGGAATGGGAGGAGACAGAGGGAAGTGGTTTCAGTTTTAAGTTCATAGAGAAGGGGCACGAGTTGGGGGAGTGGTGAGGAGAGGCAGCGGGCAGGACCACAGCTGGTTACCCTGGTAGTCCCTAGCCCCAGGTGGGGGAGAGGGAAGCTAACCCCCAACGCTTGTCCCACTGCTCTCATCTCCTCACCCCTTGAAACTCCAGATGGACCAGGCCTCCGGAACGGCACTGCCGCCCGCACACTCACACGCAGGCACGCAGGGACACTCAGTTACCACAAAGTTAAAATTAAGGGTGAGGAGAAGAGAAAAAAAAGATATTCCAGTGTCTGCTGCTGGGGACCCTGCCACACAGGTTAGGACCTATGTGTTAGGCGGGGGCCGTTTGGCATTAAAGGAGAGCAGCAAGGGGCTGGTGGCTACAGGGCAGGGACATCCACAGAGATTATGTACAAAGGAGAGGGATGCCCCTGCTCGGCCCCCAATAGGGCTGAACTGGCTCATGGGGGTGGGGTACAGGTAGGGGGAGCTGCCCCACTTGGAGTATCCCCACCTGATCTTTTGCTGAGGGTGCCCCAGAGAGCAAGGGGCTGGGAGTGATGTCTTGCAGGCCCCTGCACGCTAGGAGGGAGGGGATGCTATATACAGGGGGGAGGTGCATGGAATGTGGGGACAGAAGCTCCTGCCACCCCACCTCCCCATCCTTGGGGGTTCGAGGGGGTGGGCACCAGGGCGCCTGGCTACCAGGGGAGAGTGGCAGCACTAAGGGCACTTGTGCCAGTGGCTCTGTTGGGGTGGGGATTAGTGTCTGGAGTGGCCCAGTTCCTGTGGCCAATGAGGTCCCAGGGTGCAGGTGAGGGTATGGGGAGAGTGGTCACTGCTTCTTCTCTCGGGTGGTGATGGTGACCAGCTGCTTGGCAGCCTTGGCAATGTCATAGGCGCACTGGATCACCTGCTGAGTCAGCAGCTGGAAGTCCACAGGGGCACCAGGCTCTGGGGGCACTGTCTTCCGGCACTCACTCTGCAGCCGGTATGCGCTGGCATTGAGTAGCCGCAGTGAGCTCCGCACTGGCTCCAGGGCTGGCCTCTGGAGGGAAGGAGGGCTGGGCTTTAGTTTACACCATGAGCCACATTAAGGCCCAGTGGTGTATCTGTCCATATCTCCACCCAGGTATCAATCAGTTCCCTACACCTGCTCTAGCCTGAGCTCTTCCTACCCCTGATCCTCTACGAGGCCTCTATACCTTCGGGAAGAGAGAGGCCATCTCAGTCACAGCCAAATGGATCTTTTCCGAGCAGGGCACAAAGCTGTAAGAGGAGGAGAGCATACAAATTAGGGAGACTCTTAAGGAAGGAGCCCAGAGACAGCAGCATATGGGCCTCTCTCCTGCCCCTGCAACAACACAGAAACAAACAAGAGGCTGTTCCCCACCCTGTACCTGTCATGCTTGAACTCCTGGGCTGCCCGCAACAATTCCTGAATGTTCTTGGTGACCTGCTCTGTCTTCAGGATGACATCCTCTGTGCTGGGAAGCCCAGGGTCTAGGTCTCCATCAAGGTTTTCCAACTCTGGATGGAAGTCGTCATCTTTGCCCAGGTCTAGAAATCTCTTTCCTTCCAGCCTGAGGCCCAGGTTTGAAAAAGAGACATTCCAGCTGTAGGGCCACTCACCTCCACAACCCCACACCCCGAGGCCCTCTCTACTTCCCCTTCAGGGTGTGAGCAGAACTGGGTTTAAGACCCAATGGAGTGGCTCAACGCCTATAGCTCAACTGGCTAAGGCGCCAGCCACGTACACCTAAGGTGGTGGGTTTGAATCCCCAGCTCGGACCCGCCAAACAACAATGACGGCTGCAACCAAAAAATAGCCGGGTGTTGTGGTGGGCGCCTGTGGTCCCAGCTACTTGGGAGGCGGAGGCAAGAGA